CTGTGCTAATACATTGTCTGCTGCTCCTCACTGTGATCCAAATATTCCGTAGTTCTGGGAGTGTAGAGTTGACTACATTTTATGCTGTCTAAAGTCTCTGCCCAGGAAAGACTAACACTCATCTTCATGCTTTCACAAGAAAAAAGTTGGAAGCGACAACTTTTAAGTCCTGAGGCATGTCCTCATTGGGCCATTGGCCAACAACAAACAAATCAACAAAAACACTAAAACAAAGACCATATAACCCAAAATCTCTTTCTAAATACTTCCCTGAATACCTCCAGAAGCAACTCCACAGCCTACCTAAAATGACAGAGTTCACAAATTTGAAATGGTAATTTACTCTTTGCCATGTAATCACACACACACACACACACTTAATAGCATTTAACATCTGGGCAGGCAAGAATAATCATGCATAAATATCATCAATGTTATTTTAGCATCATTGCAGTTGAATAAAATATTGTCAGAGTACAAGGATATATTTTTGTTCTGTCTATGGAAATAATGAATTATTACATAGATAATTGTATACCTGCAAGGCATATCTGGTACACAATTAACTAGATTTATAATATAGCAAACAAAGTGATCCCTAAGTCAATATGAACTGAATAACATCCATATGTAAAATAGATTATAATATACTAAGAAATATATTTTATGTAATTCTTAATGAGCTTTTCCTTTTTGGTGGCGAGCCACACTGGGTGTAGAATTGTTTTGAATGGATGGAATTTGCAAGTTACAAAAGTTTTCTTAAAACACTCAAGGATAAGACAAAACAGGAGATACAGGAATTGTTGAGACCATATAAAGAGACTAGAGCCTGTCCAATGAAGAAGTATGTGTCTTCTAATATTATATGTATTTGGGGGTAATACACAGTTCACTGGATTTGGATAGTTATTGCATTTGACAGCTGATCCTGTGGAGCAAAGGTAAGGGGGGCGGGGGAAGGGAATGAAAGAAGGAACAGAAGGCAAGCGTGCAGGATGCCCTATTCTCCTCTTCCAAGCACCAACCCAGTATGTGAGCATGTACACTGGCAGGCTGTCCTGAAAAAAACAGTGACCAACTTCAAAATGGGTGGAGTAAGTTTATTGTAACAAAAGGTGGTAACAATCCTCTATGGAAATTAAGCACTGAAACTCAGCTGCCCTCTGGAAGCAGAGCCTGAGACAGATCATCACGTGCCTCAGAGATAATTAATTCATTTTGCATTCTATTGTATTTTAAATAGAACAACAAAACTGGTTACAGTTGTAGCAGAATGTCTTTAGGTTGCAAAGAGAAAACACAACCAAAACTAGTTAAACAATAAAGTGGAAGTATTTTTCCTTAAAACTAAAAGTCTAGAGTTAGGTTGGGATATGATTCAGTGGCTCAACAATATCATCAATGATCTAATTCCTTTTTCTTTTCCCACTTGCCTTTGAGCAGGATTGGCTTTTTTCTAAAGCTGTCTCCCATTTTGGTTGCAAGATGTCTACCAACTTATTTATTTAAAGTAGAGAGAGAGAGAGTTCCAGTCATTTTTTAGAATAATGAGGAACCCTCCTTTCCAACAGTTTCTCCTCACTCCAACACACACAAACCTGGCCTTATGTATCATTGTCTCCAGATGGGTCATATACCTACCTAGACCAATAACTGGCTGGGAAAAGGAAAAAGATTTACTTAACTCTGAGATATAGATCCTAAATCCAAAGGAAGAGTCATCTTCTCTCAAGGGATTAAGATACCCAAATAAACCTGGAGACATTACTAGAAAAAGAGCATCAAAGTTGGTGAAGCAACCACAGTATATATTGCAAAGGGTTTCCTGTAAATCTGCTAATTTATTGCCACAGTTCTAACAGTAGGACTGATGGCTCTTTCCCACTTGAACAGACTTTGAGGGGTTAGAGCCATAATTCTCAACATAACAGTCACCTGCTAAGATTTTTAAAAATGCAGAAACCTAGGCTGACACCCAGAATTCAAATTCAGTAAATCGAGGGCATTTTATCAGACATCCAGCATGATTCTGTTAAGGGCAATGAGAGGACCACAAACAGTATAAATATATATCTGATATTCAGAATTTAGCTAATTTTACTGCCTGTTTTCCTACCATCACCAGGATGGTACATTCTTGTACAATGTAACCAGGCAGGCTGATGCAGAGTTACTTGTTTATTTTTGTTTTGCTGGGTGCATGTGTTTTTAATTTCCAGGATTAGAGGAACTTGCATGTGATGCAAGCATAGAAAACTTGCATGTGATGCAAGCACAGAATTCATGAATGATTTCATGAATTCTAAAAGGCGCATGGGAAGAGTGAAGAGCGGTTTGGGTAGCACGACATTACCTTCTGTGATACTTATTTCACATAAAGGTCCCTAAATTGGCCACTAATTCTGTTTGTACTTCAGGGACTCTAGCCGCCACCTGTTGTTCATGTTGCTTTGGTTGGTAGTATACACTTAGCCTACAAAGCCTTCTTTGCCAGAGTTAACAGAAACAGTGAATTCATACTAATACTAACTCTTATGTATGTACCTTTGTTGAGAGTGTGTGTGTGGTGTGTGTATGTGTATGTATTTTAATAGTATAAATATTTGTTAGTGATACACATTATGAGGAGCCACCACTATGGAAATGTTGCATAGAAATATAATTCTGTACAGACTGTGTATCTACTGACTCTGATATTGTTAATTTGTTACAAAGATCTTTCAGATATTACAGGCTTAAGTATAGGCTGGTGCACTACTTGCCCAGGAGGCTTTGGTTTTAAGATGTTCTGATTGCTGACTTCTATGAATTTGGAATTGTCCTTACTTCTGTGCTTGCTAATTCTTTCCTAAAATTTCTTGCTAACCTGTATATAAGAGAGGAATAAATAAATCTTAGCATCTCTAGTCTTTATTCCTTAGGCATCACATGCTTAGGATGTTTTGTTTAACCACATTAACTATGCTTAATAACCATATTGGTAGGTAGATCTTACCTACCAATGTCTAACCCTGGATTATAAGGGATTTGAAGAAATTTCTAAGGGAGATCCTTATTTCTTAAAGGGATTTCTCCCCCAGCCCCTGCATCCATTTTATTTTTTCCTTATGCTTAAGTCCAACTAACGTTAAGATTGGGCCGGTTACTGTTCCATAACCCTTTCTCTCTTTCTCCCTCGTTGTCAGCAGATGCTGACTTGGGACTTTGGGAGATGGTAAGGCATAGTGGAAAGTGTTTGGTGTTGAAGTCACACTCACATGAGCTCAAATTCAAATTGAGCTTAGACAAATTGCTCAGTCACTCTGAACCTCTGTATCCTGGTCTATGAAATTTTCATTTCATCAGTAACTTTATAAATTGAGTTTACCACATAAAATGACCAACCGTAAGTGTAAGTTTTTTTTTTCTTTTCCATTTTGAATCTTCAGACACTTGCTAACAATGACTCATCTAAGTCAGCATTTCTGTAGGCCCCGATGGTATTTTCTTAAAAGGAAATTCCTGGAAGCTACCAACAGTTGTCCTCTTTGAGCATGTTATGATATATTTTGAACATGATAAAGCAGCAAACAGGTTTTTAAATATTTATGCCCTCCACGTCATGCATGTCTAGTGTTTGCTGTCTCCATTTCTTTATGTGCCAAGCCAAACAGTGTGAGAGGCAAATACTGTGTGGACACAAAGTAAGCTTGTCTAATGTGTACTCTGTGCATATGTAAATAACCTTAATGGAAAGGGTGTAGACCACTTCCCAGTTATACAGTGATACCTTGATTAACGAATCACCTGGGAACAGAGTTCCTTTATAAAGGAATTCGGCTGAGTAAATTTTTATTTTAAAACTTCATGAATCAAATAAAATATACTGGCTAAAGTCATGTAACTTAGCACTACTCTTCTGGATAAGCTGTACTTGTGCACAGAATGGAAATACCTCCTCATAGAGCATGTCTGTTAGTATAAAGGTAAAAAGGGGGCTTCTAGGCAAAATTATGAGGCTGCTTCGGATCAACTTTTTTTGCTCATAACCACTGGGCTCCATCCCCAACATGTGCAGCAGTGGCTTGTTACCCTTGGAGTCTTGCTACTCTCAAAAATTCTGTCCTTTTAAAATAGGAATCAAAATAATTCACCTTTAAGTTATAGTTCATGTCACCTTATGTTGATATTACTTCGTAATATCTCAATCCTGGCTACAAGTTATATACCATTGAAAGAGATTCTGATTTTATTGGTTTGAGCTGGGGCCAGAGTTTGGCATTCTGATACTGATTCAGGGTTGTGAACCACTGTGTTAGCATAAAACTGTGTTTTCACATCTTGGCCTCTTCTTTTATAATACTCGTTTATACGTGTGTGGGCTATAGAACACTTGTGTCAAAACCACTTGGAGTCAACTTTTAAAATGTGAGTTTCTGTGGCCTACCCACAGAATCTCCATTACTGAATCTTCAGATGTGTGTTACACATACGTTGAGTGTGTTTGTGTGCACTCCCCATCTTATTTCATTTTAGTTTGAATGTAATTATTATAATTATTATAAATAATTCTGTTTAAAAATATAAACTCTGCATAATATAAATACTCTACCATCACCACTCTGTGGGACTTTTCTGTTTTCAAAGAGGAAGTAAAAGTCATTTTTGACAGTCAAACTTTTGTTTGATCATTAGAAGATATAAATAAGATCAATTTTTGCATAAGGAAAGGAAAATAAAATTCAGACAACTGAATGATCTTTTCTAATACAAGTTTTAAAGTATGAGTATATAAATGTTAAGTTAATGTGAATATCCATTAAGCTGTCATTAATTATGTAAAGGCAGATTTCAAATGTATAAACAAAACTGCAAGTCAGGGACTTGAGGTCATTGTCTGGAAATGTGAAATATATTTATGTTCAATCTCAATTTCTCTCTCTTTCTCCTTTTCCCTCTCCCTCCCTTCCCTGTCTCCCATTCTCTGTCCCCACTTTCTTCTTTTCCTCTTATCAAAGCATCAGAAGAAGAAGAGCCAAGTTCAGCAGGTAAAGTTCTTATGCTGTATACATTATGTCTGTTTAATTTCATGCCCTTAACAATGGAGACTCAATGCTTTGAAGTATATATTTTTTATGATTTCTACCAGAAAACTGTTTCATTTAATTGCTTTTTATTTCTTGGACCCACTATGCTGTCCCAGACTAAATGATGTTGGTAATAAGTTTTAAATAAAAAGAGAAAAGAACTGAAAACAGACTATCACAGAGGAAAACATAACACAAAATATTACATCAATGTTAAAGAGGAAGGAAAGCTGGAAATTAAAAACATTGAGAAAAATAGCAGAAACTAGTAAAATGAAGAAAAATAGTAAAATCAGAATGAAAAAAGGAAAATGATAAAATATGTTTTCAGAAATTATGACCTTCATGATAACATACTGTATTATCAAACATGTAACTTCTTGAACAGGATATTCAGTTATGTTTAAGAGTAAAATTCATGATCTTGCCTCAAACACTCTCTTTACTTAAAAACATTTTACAGTTGTAACTTAATGATACTGAAACCTGGCATCCTGACTCTTTTCCTCATCGACCTGATCAGCATTTATCAAGCACAGGCTCAGGTGTGAACTAAGTACTGTGAAAAATGGAGAGAGTAGAAAAGGCATGGTCATTTCAGCATGATTCTAGGACTGAGGGATGGGTCAAAGAGACATACTGGGAGCCTAAAGCCCAGACACACCTATCAGGATAAGGTAGGCAGCACAGCCAATATGACTAGCAATGAATAAAAGGCCTAGGCTAACAGTCACGCAACATCAGGAAAAAAGGAGATGCAGCTGGTAGAGGCTGGTCCCGAGAAGATCTCAGCACTAGATTCTTTCTTAGGCAAGTACAGTTGACCCTTGAACAATGCAGGGGTTAAAGGTGCTGAACCCCCATGCAGTTGAAAATCCATGTATAACTTTTAGCTCACCCAAAACTTAACTACTAATAGCCTACTGTTGTTTCCATAAATAGTCGACTGTCACATTTTTTGTATATGTATTATATATACTGTATTTTTAGAATAAACTAAGCTAGAGAATTTTTTTTTCAAATTTCACAAATCTCCAGAAAGTTTTCCAGTATATTTATTGAAAAAAATCCACATACAAGTGGACCCGTAAGAGTTCAAAACCATGTTGTTTAATGGTCAACTGTAATTGAGGAAAGGACTTATGCCTAGAGACAAGGAAAGAAAATGGTTACTGAAACTAATGGACAAAATGGGGCTTGATTTTATAGGCAGTGGAGAATCTAGCCAGTTACTGGAACTCAGGTACAAGGTAAGGTTGTTTCAGTTCATATACCGAACTTATTTCAACTGGAAAAGACCTCTTGATTTCTGTCTCCCTCCAAAGCTAGATGGGGACATTTACCTGTAGAGTAATTTCAGAGATCAAAACTTGAGCGGAAGAAAATGAAATAGACATCTTACAGGCATCTTTGATAAACATCAAAGATGTCATAGTACATGACACTCATTACAACTGTACTGCTTTGGTAATGGAATCACAGATTTAGATACTCTCAACATTACATTTTCATAATAGTTTAGAACCTGATTTGGATGATAAGACCTCCCTATCATTTTCTCCCACCCTAGTCAGTATTGTGTATCTATTTAGGAGAAGCCTAGTCACGTAACTTAACAGGAAACTCATGTTTTAATGAGTGACCTCTGCCTAATTTCTCACCTCCTGCCCTGACTTGAGGCTTTTAGTGTTAACAGGGTTGCCCAAAGACTGTATTTGTTAACCTTAATTGAATTTTCTCTGTGTCAGTCCTTGAGAGCACCATGCATTTCTAACTAGTCCAGTCTCATTCCTCTTATACTCTTACATGTCACTTCTTTCTGTGCTGCCTACCAGGCAATTTTGGTGCCACTGTAAAAGAATTACTATATTTGCATTATAAAGATTAATTTTAATCTAATGTTTAAATACAATATAACTATTTCTTGGTAAACTTTCTATTCTAAAGCTACTGTAATAATTTCTTTGCTTACTAAGAAGGTCTTCTCATAAATGCAACTGAACATTTCTTCTCCAAATACTTATTTTAGTCTAGAGTGATCTAAACATCATAGTTTAAATTATGTTTTAAAAATATTTTGTTTTCAGATATGACAAGATGTTTTTGTTGTGCTTTAAGAACAGATTTTTACAATAGAACCAATGTACTTATAAGGAATATTTTAACTAAGTAATTTCACATACAAATTACATGAACTGAGAAAATTTGTCACTTAGTAAAGTGGATACTCCTTTTGTATAAAAACTGCCAATGGTAGACAAATGTTTTCCTTTTAAATTTACACATAATAAAAATATTATTGTGTTGTTGCATTAAAACTTTTGACGAAGTGTCATAAGATTTGTAGAGACTGTTTCAATATTAATACTTGTGGAAAGTGGATTGTGATTTTTTTAGTCCTTTTTGGTGAGTCTTGTCCCCAATTTTTTTGATTAATTTTCTTAATTGAATATTTATTACTGTTCTGTGTCTTTTTCAGTGACATATAAATATATATATTTAAAGAGTTATCCATAATATCTTTACTTAATATATGATTAATATTCTGTTTTTACTCTTTGTCTTCTATCAGCAGAATTTATCTAGAATAATTTCGTACAAGCTCAGACTCACTTTGTGGTCCTCCTTTATCTTTTTTCCTGTTAATTTCTCTATTCTAGGTTATCATTGAAATACAATCTTTCATTTTCCACAAAAATTGTACCTGAATTAAATTTTCACTATGTCCCCACATGATATCTTTATCAGATTCATATTCTTCCTTCAGATACACAGCATAATTGGATAGTAACTCCTTCAAGTACATAAATTTCTTTAAATAATTTTAATGTTTCTAATAGATCTACTGCTCTTCAAAGTTCAATAGTAGAAGAAATAATAAAGTAAATGGAGGTGTTTTTATACTGTCAAGTATTCACAGACTCCTAATTTCTAATTGTTAATATATGAATTATGAATTAAAAATGACTATTTTTAAAAACAAATCTATGCATGATTTATTTAAAGGTGTTGGTCTCTAGTGGATACTACTACTGAATAGTAATTCTTTTGAATGTTTGCAACATATGGATATTATATAACAAATCTAGTTTTTTTTATCACACAGAAAACTAGAATTGGATTAATTATAATTCAATAATAATAACATATTCTCATTGTTCAGAACTATTTTAAAAAATAAGTTTTCTATCTTGAATAACATAGTATGAAAAAAATCAGGAAGGCAGACAGTATGACTGTGAAAATTGAGATATTAGAGTCTTATTTGTGTTATAATGCAAAATGATTGTGCTTTCTCTTTACAATAGAGTACATTTAATTTGCTTTATATTTAGAATTGTTATGACTGCCATCATTAAGACAAATAAGTGATCTCTCCACTCTGTTCCCATACAATTTGTTTACAGTATTTTTATTCTTTATTCTGTCTTTGTTTTTTCAAATATGCCTGATTTCTCTGATTTGAACCTCTAAATTGCTATGCAAAAAGCAAGTGTTTTTAATAAGCGCCTTTTTTGTGCTGATATGTAGAGGGGGTGCATAATATATCACATATGCATTTCTCCTCCTGGGGGTGTATCCCCTCATTGAATATGGAGCATCCACTTGTTAATCATTTTCAGCCCTGAGTGTTCTGATGGGCTTCATTAGCCTAGAGGAAGGTGTTCTTCAGCATTTGCATTACCAGGGCAGTTTCACCTAACACCTACCAGAAGCTTCTTTTTATTTATCTTTGTTGAATATTCTTTTCATGTATTTAAACATCTTCCAATGAATATAAAAACATATCCATAAACTATACAAGAAATTACTTCAAACTAGATTGTATCCCAAGATATAATTTCAAAATGATGAAACTCATATTTTTAAAGCAGCCACAATAGATGCTGTACCTACAAATGAGTCACCTTTAGAAAGTGATATATATAATCCAATTGTATTACTATTGCTCAAATAATTTTTGGAAACTCTTTTGAACTCTTTTTCAGAATCTGTTTTTGATATTACATCAGTTATTCCCTTACAGTCTCAGAACTGTGCTACTATTCTCATCAAAATTTGATCTAATAAGTATGCCTTCAGAAACAAAGATTTAAAAATATTAAAGTGTGTGTGTGTGTGTGTATCTATAGGTATAAAATACAAGTCAGTTTACAACTTTGAAATCAGTTTACAACTTTTGAAAGATGATCACACTATATTAAAGTTAAATTTCATAAAATAACACTCTTAAGTCAGTGGCTGCTTTCCCTTCTGTTACACAAGTCCAGTTGTCATTTATCTTTTATTTAAATTGTGTAATACAGAGAAGATTCCTAAACTGATTATACCAATACTTTTGTATTAAGATATTTACATTATCAAATTGCTACAAGTGAACTAATCTATATAAAATTTAATTTATTAACTATAAGGAATATCAAATCAGGCTCATTCTCATATAAATTTCCTTATTCCTCTTCATTTACTTTATCTTATTAGCTATTATTTTACCTCTCTAGAAATACCATCTATTTATCAAATTGATGAAATCATTGTAAGAATTAAAACAGGTCCTGAAATGGAAAATGCTACTAAATGGGATCAAAATCAATCAGGAAATGACACAGGGTAGCTCTTGTAGTTATACAGGGACTAAAATTAATCAAAATCACAATTTACTGTGTTTTGTTTATACTGTCCCTGGAGACAGGTTCTTGTTCTAATTGCAAGAAAGAATTCAAAAATGCATGCAAAAAAGCCATTGAGCATTAAGAGTTTATTTGGAGAATACAATTCAGTAAAAGACAAGTGTATAACTGGGAATTGGGGGTACGGGCAGACCCAGAGGGGCTTGCACCCAGAAAACAATAGGGAGCCTTTTTTATGTGAAGGGAGATGAATATTCACTAAGTGAGATTAGGTTTCAGAGGGAACAGGTGGAGTTTTCCCTGGAGTTTGGGCTTGCTCCACCCTCATGT